TTCTTAGCATCTTTTACCTATTATGTCTAAAATAGATCAGACCACTTCTTTATTTTCTTTTCAATGCGTCGCTAGAGTCCTCCTCAGAAGTTCGAGCGAACACCACGCAAATTAAAGCAATGGCCGGAAACGCTTTGCGGGCCCCTTTTTAGCTCGAGTTACTGCAGTCACAAAACGCCCGCCGTGCTGCTTTTGATGGAGACGTGCGAGCTATTCCAACAGTCCCGGCACTACGAGGAAGCAATTATGACGTAAGCCACGGCGTGATCTCCCCCCTCGTAGAACTCGTCGCAACGAGGATCCGGGAAACGGGTTTTATACGTTTCATTCCTCTATATGGTTCACGAACGGAGGGGCGCGTGCTGTTTTTATTAGCAGCCGCCAGCGGCCAGTTTTCCAGCCAGACAGGGTATGCTGTTCCGAAGCGTGATATGTTCTACCTGCGTTCAATTTTCCTATTCAAAGCACCTCCTGTGCGCGAGTATATATATATATGCTCGATAAGCCGTTATTTACGAACGAGGTCGATAAAACAGAACAGATGGCGCTGAATATACGAAAGAGGAAGACGGAAAGTTTCGACTACAATAAACTCGATAGTGATGGGGGATAGAAGAAATCCAGCCGGATATGTAGCCGTCTTTCTTCGTAGTTACGGAGTTTCGTTTGTGGGATGGATACCTTACTTGCGCGAGCTTACGCAAGGAACACACATTTTGTTACACTGCAGCAACATGTGTTCGGGCTCATTGCAGTATGCGTATCCGTATTGGAGATTTTCATACATAAAATTGGCGGAGGCTTACGATGTTTATTTATTTTTCAAAAATCGATGCGTTTCGGCGCTTGATTTCTTACGAACGCTAAAAACCGGAATTATCGATGGAAAAAAAAAGTTAATAGAAAACTAAAAATTTAAATTTAATTTAGAATTTGTATACACCATTATAACGCTTCACGTTTACCATAATGCGGCAGCTCTTGCAAATGCCGGAAGAGTCCGAACACGGGTGCTCTTTAATGTATACCACGATGAGCTTTTTCGCTGTCATTTTATCCTGCTACAGTTTTGCTACGTGTGATGACGAACCTTTCATTGTTCTCAAGAAGAATATTTCTACCACGAAGAAGGCAATTTGCTCTCGCTCCTTAGAACCGATGGATACCGCAATTGTAGCTTCGACCACTGTCTAACTCTAACCTGAACAGAACAAAGATAATGTAACAATCAGTGGTGACCGACTAACTGATAACTCTCACGCAAGTGCTCTTTAAGGCCTGCGATTCCAGTGATTCGGACCTCTGAGAGTGATTGATGAGGTAATATTACGCGCACAATGCTCGAAAGGTATCGACACAAACAATCTTCACGTAGAGCAAATGTTGAAAAAGGAAGGGAGAATGAGACAATGCCTAAAAAAGTTTCGCCACTGCTGTGCTCAGGATTGTAGTAAAAAATAACCGGATATAGCTTCTAGTTATATGAGGCAGTTTTATGTCGCATTTAGAAACAAGCGAATTTATTTTGGTAATTAGAAATAGACTCTAGAGCAGACGAATGTTTGTTTCATCTTGTTGTCTGTTATTCATTCGCGCATCCCTCGGTGCCCAACGGCGATGCGCAAAGTTGAGATAAAAAAAAAATGGACAGAAAGCTTTTCTGCGAAATACGTTCGCGTGCCAAATCTCGGGTGTGTAATTCTGAGACTCGAATTCAGCGAGGAGTGCCAAATGTTCTGGTTCTCAAGGGCGCTCTCTTTACATTAAAGCAAAGTTGTTCCTCCCGGTGGTGTGGGAGGCAGGTTCCGCTTCGATGGTCTGGAGCGTGGTGGCACGAACGTCGCTGAGTGACGGGTCGACTCACTGCTTGAATAGAACTATGTGCATTTATTTACACTCTAGTTACAAGTCCCAACTTGGGAAACCATCCCGTCTCGTCTAAAGTCTCGACCCCCGTCCCCAATTTCTCTCCATCAAATCCAAAGTCCGAATCCCTCAAAATCCTCTCCGCGCTCTTTTTGTAGGTCCGTAGGGGCCTTCTTTCCCCTCAGGAACCGACCAATCTCTTCAAATTCCGCCACTCACACGTGGTACACTGTTCTCCAATGGTCGGCGAGCTGTCATCCTGGCGTCCCAACCGTCAAACCTAAATTCCTCGTAGAGTTGTTCTCTGCAATTTTCCCAGCCTGACTGGCGCCAACCGATAAGTTATTGCATCGGGCACAAAGCGACAATTTTATACAAAGCGGCAAAACCCTCTGCATACACGCACATTCGGCTATAAGCCACAAGCATCTTCCAGCGCGGGCTCTTTCGGTCCCGGTCCGAGCAGACCCCCGAAACCCGAGACGCTCCTTAACGACCGCGGGGGGGACCGCTCCCGCGTCGCGGCCGCTCTGGCCCCGCCGACCCAAACGCAGAAAGCTAAAAAAACACAATGCCGACGCAACTCTGGAAAGATAAACTTTCCTAACGAAAAGAAAACACGTTAATTAATAAGCAGGACTCTTAAATACTTAACTAAGCGTCTCCGACACTTCTTTTTTTTTTTTTTTTTTTGTCTGCATCAGTTTCAGTTTTGTTAAAGTGGGTAGCTGAGACTTAAGTGAAAGATGACGAGAATCTATTTGTGAGGCGGAAGCAATAAACTACGGTATATTACATCTCACACTGAAATATCGGATGATTAATAACATTGCGCCTTACTAGGTGTAATCGGTGCAGTCAAGCTAGCAAGTTACGCTGCGGTAAACGAGTTTCTCTCCATCTATCGCTCTTCTGCTTGCTTGATTTTTTTTTTTCAGGCTTTTAAAGGGGTATAATCTGGATTTTGACGTCGTCTTTTTTATGTCTCGAACTCAATCTACACATCCTAAGCATCATATAAAGTCCAAAATTACAATCAGGCGTGGCTTTTTTCGCCCTGAAAAACGGGACCAAACAGCGCGGCACGCCCCTTTTTCTCAGATATACCAGAAAAAGGGGCGTGGCGCGGTATTAGGTCGCATTCTTTAAAGACGCAAAAAAAAAAAGGCCACGCATGCTTGTAATTTGGGGTTTTTAATTTTACTTAGGGCGGATAGAGTGATGTTGCGCCACACGAAGAGGATATTAAATTCCACTTTAGTGCATCTTCATATTGCCCGAACGCAACCCCACAAATTTAACCGCCGATTTTAGACATCGAAATATTCCGCGTCAATCGTGTACGCCTCCTTGCGCGTTTGAGAATTTGAACGTCAAGCGTGACCCATATACATCGAAATTATGATGATGATCACTAGAGTGAATAACATAGAGAGAGACAGAGTGCAGTTCAAACTTGACGCACACGTCGTTTTCTACCACTGGATCAACAAGGCTGGTTCACGATTCTGCGGCTGAGTATGACTGGCTGCGTTGCAAGCGGTTGTCACTGCTTACGGGGAGGTGACACGTCGGGTAGGCCCGGCCCACTTTCGGTCTGCCTATATTTCTCCAACTAAAGGTTTGCGCTGTATTTGCGAAATAAAATTACCCCACAGAAAAAAATATAATGAAAAGAAAGGTAGAACATACGCAGAGAGGAAGTGCGCTAGGGCTTCCCGATAAATGAAGCCGGGGTGTTACCTGGAATATTCGGCGTTTGTTAAGGCGCTTTCAAAGGAGCAGATGCGAGAGGGTTGCACTTGCAGATGGAAAGGAGGAAACATGTTCGCACACCCCCCTCCCCCACAACATGTCTTCCAGACTTCATGAAGGAGTGGAGCTCGTTCTCTCGCCAGTGATTTTCAGCACGCTGCAGAGGATTAACGCCTTTCTATGACATTTTACTCTGGCCTGCTTCCGACTTACTCACGCTGACATGGAAGTTACTTCTAAATAACCATGAAACTTGTTTTTCGATTTGGCTGCCTTGTACTTAGAATAAGCGCCACGTCAGCAGAGGAAGGGGAAAGTATCACTTTTTTTTTTAAAGCACCCGCTGGTAAAAAAAAAAAAGGGAAATAAATAATTTACTATGGTTACATTTCCAATCCTCCCAATCACCTCATTTTTCCTGCTCCACCGGGAGGTTATACTCCCATTATTGAAATAAGGACAAAAATTATTTGTTTGCAATCAATAATCCGCCTTTGCGGATTATTGCCATAGAGAAAATTACTGTAGAGATCGTTCAATTTCTCACTCTCGGGAAAAAAAAAAAAAAAAGAAATTTGCAAACAGTTAGGAGTTTCGACAGTCAAACCATAGCCTCCTAAACATTACCCAGGGAGATGAAAGAATTCCATCGGGTATTACTGACATCATTTGGACAAGCGCAATCTCTGTACCTCCTCCCAAAAGAGAAGATACTAACGATCAGGCTCCGTGGTATGCGGCGGCAACGCCGTATCTCTCTTGCGCTCGATTGTTGCGACTGTTCACCTCCTCCGACCGGTAACTTTTTACCGGCTCGGAAGAACCTTATGCTGCATCGTGTGTGTGTGTGGGTTTTTTTTAGTTTTTTTTGTTTTTTTGAAAGAGAGATTTGGTGAATAACGCGTTCAACTAGGTACAGTCATTTTGATTTGACGAACCTCTAAATAAGGTAAAAAGTGACGTATGTATTTTTTTTTCGGTGTATTCAGACCAATATCGGTTTAAACTCGAGATACAACGGACCAGAATGTACCCAGCTGTGTAGACACAAACCTGAGAGAGAGAGAAAATAAATCGGTCTCAGACGTGTTTTTTGTTTTTTTGCCAGAAATCGTACGTTTGATTGTACCTTTCTTATGTATTACGGACAGACATTAAACCCAGGTGCTTGAGTTTATTCTGCCACTTGAGACACAGCTGTCAAACCGTGAACGTACGATCAAGAAACACGAACATTCCATACCGTGAAACCACGGGAGCTTTAGTGGGGGAGGGGGAGACAAAGCACGTGACTTCAAAGACCACGTGACACGCCTCCTTTTCTTTTTCCTATGGGAAATGCAACCCGATTAAAGAAGAAAATATTTACAAAAACTCACCATGGTCGAGACGACCACGAAATTGTTGGGTTCATCGTCGAAGTCGTCGTGTTCCTGGCCAAAGTAGACCGTGGCCGCCTCGGGCTCGGAAGCCGAATCGTCTTCCACCTCGAAACTCATCACCACAACCACACGCCGCACGCGGCTGCCGCTGATCACCAAAATCACAGCTCACCATCCATCCCCATGGGCAAAAGCGAACGATGACACACACACGCGGTCACGCCGCCGAAGAGAACGTGCGCGCACCGAACACAGGGCGAGCGTATGGAAACTCCAGACTCACGCCGCTTCAACGACAACAAACTACACTGCGCATTCCCGAACAAGGTGCACGTTGTGCCCACACCGCACGTGATGAACAACAAACCATCGCCGTTCAGACAGCGCGGCACTTGCCACGGCAGCGCGTGTCGCGCTCTGCAGCCGGAGACAGAACTGCTGCAAACTGCACGCGGCACGGTGCCAACTTGCGGAAGGGGCCAAGCAAACAGATAAAGAACACAACGGACGCTCTTCTGATCTCAAACTGGTTTCGGTTTCTTGCCGCCAGGCGCGAAACGCGCCGACCCTTTTTCCCTTTCTTATTTCCGCTCCTTCTCCTTCCCTCGCCCTCTTTATGGTTGTTTTCACGACGAAAGAGGGAAACCAAGTTTCGGTTTTAGCGTAACACATCACGCGCATTGTTACGGCGTCCACGAAACCTTACGCGTCGGAGTCTTTCTTTTACAGCTTTGGTTTTGTTTTTTTCGAGAAGCCAAAACTAATTGCAGACGGTCACGTTTTCCTTTCTTTTGCTCGCAAAAATGAAGACGGTGTTGTCGTGGTACCTCTTGGCACGCTCCGCAGAGAGCTTCCGCGGACTTATTATTCGGGTTATTTAAGCATTTGCACGATCGCGGAAAGGATACCAGGACGTAAATAGAAGTGCGAGCAAAATTCGGATACCATTTACCTCGTCGTAGGTGGTCTCGAGCAAGAGGTTCAGGAAGCCATCGATATGGACGTGGTCAGAGACGTGCTGTTTAGTCCCCACTGGAAGCAAAACCGATATAAGAAGGTGTCCACAAGCATCGACCAAACATGCATAAATCGATGATTGAAGACCAAGTTTGAAAAATGCGTCTGCTGCTGCAAAAGTAGCAGACGACGTCTGTCGGCTCAGATACGTGGCGCCATCTGTCTGATTAAAGAAGAAACGTAAAGTAGCATTCGCCACGTCGCGCAACTGCCGCGGTGAGCAGACGGCACAGATGGTAGCGCAAATAAATGGTACTACCAACTTCCACTGTGGTGCATGCTAACCTAGAATAGCTCGGACATTTCCTCGGTTTTTCTAGTCGCTACGACGACTGCAGTACGCACAAGTATTATAGAGCATGTTTCTGAACTGTTTTCGAATTATTTGCGTTACACGCCGATTGGACATTCAGTTAGTTGTTTCAGTAAGCGCCAGCGCTCTGCTTGAAAACGTGTTATGTACCAAATTAATCGCACATACTGCAAATGCGCACTGAATTTGGTACGATGAGCGGCAAGCACCAATTATGCTGCTTACCCGACCTCGCCAGTCAATGAAGGATATACAGCTTAGAAGTAGGCAGCCTCGGACGCTTTGGCGTGTTACCTAACAGAAATCACTTACTTTTAGGACACCCTTCCATCGATGTTCGGCTATTCGTCGGCTCTTTTGCGTCCAGAACCGCTGTCACGAGGGTTTGTATTATGATTATACGCGGTTGTCATGGCAACCAGTAAAACTCTTCCCTTCGCTATCGTAAGCTTGTCTCCTTTCGCCGCTTCGATCGGAAATCAATTACTAGGTACACACTGGTACACACGCATAAACCTAGGCGTGGGGCGAATCGTACGCGCTAAGTGTCAGGGCACACTTCTACGTATATATGCACGCACACACGCACGCGCGCACGCGCACACACACAAAACACCTTTAAAGAATGTTGGATTTTAATTATAAGTATAGAGCGCAATGTTCGTATGCGGAGGCTCTGATTGGCCCTGATTAAAGTATAATGGGTAGACCTAAAAGCAAACTGACTTGAGGTCGACCCAGTATCCTGGCTCGCCATTCTGACGTCACCAGAACCCCGGCAAAAAGAAGCAGACGAACTTGCACCCAACGATGCCCGCACCCCTTGCACCGGTGCAGAAAAATGTAGGGCACTGTACTTCCGGTATGTGTACTGAGATACGACCGAAAGCACGTACCCCGCGTCCTACACTTTAGTGCACCGGTGCAGGTAAATCGAATGAAGCTATTCCTAGATAACTGCCCAGTGTCTGAAAAGTCCAGGTTTGTTTGTGTTCGACTTATGATCATCTGGTTTGTCTAAAACAAGGACAATACATTGTTCCGTGAAATCTGCTAAATTTGTTGTCAATACAGAAAAAGACTTATATTCCGACATTTTCATCCCATCAACTGTACCCAATTGATTGCCCCCCTGGCTAGAACCATTCGGTTACACATTTATTCAGTCAATGGAACATCAGATAGGCAAATCCCTTTTCATTGACAATTATTTTACATTAGGTATTTGGTTTATTCAATTGTACTTCAGAATGTTCTTCAACAAAGTAATTCTTGCTCGTAAAAATGTGTACAGAAACAAAAGAGCAAACGATAAAAAAAGGTTCCAGTCACTTCGGTTAGCAATGCTTCAGCTTATGTAGCAAATTTAGCCTCAGCTGCTTCAAATATACAGATAACATAGATGTTGAAGTCTACATCCCCAACTTGTAACTATGGCAACTAAGGTATATGATCATGCTTATGGTTAAGGACAATAAGGTATTCACCCAGTGTAGGGGTAATCTTGAACATTTTGTTTTTGTTTAAACAGTATATATAAAAAAACTGGATAATAAAACTTTAATATGAACAAGCCCAATGAAACAACAGTGAGAGGGACATTCCAATGTTCATAAATGATCATCAGGGCAATGTCTGACCAAATAATGGCAAAAGCTTGGGACAAATGAATATCTAGAAAAACAGCCTTCCCCTAACCGAAGGCAAACTGGGTAAAGAAAAGGTGATGGGCTAACATTCAGTGTGAGGCCCAAAAAGCTGAGAATGGTTCTCGCTCTGTCCTGAGTGTATTAGCTAGCATGGAAAGTCAAGGAAAAAGCTATCTTTAGTCGCCTTGAAAGTGCAATCAACTTGGACTACCCATACTATCACACAAACTGCCGAACCCATGCCACACATTTTGGGTGTGGGCTATCGACCACAGTCTTCTAAGGTAGAACATTGAAGCTCCTACAATAAACATAAATAATAATTCTCCCCATAATTCTTTGCATTGTACCGGGCATTGCAAGGTTTCTGAAAATTCACTTCCATACTGTCAATACCAAAGCCTGGCAGCTCAGGTGAAAATGAACATTATAGCTCACAAACAGCATTTCAGCTACCATTCATCATTACGATTGTCGCAATAAATTTAATGCCTCCAACAAACACGTAATGCGAGAAATTTAACAAGACCGTGGAATGCAAAGCAAATACTTGCGAGCGTGACCAAGACCCACGTGCCAGCTGTCCATACCAGTCAAATCAGTTTTTATTTGACGGGCTGGGAGCAAGAGGGCCATACCACTCGTAATTAGAAAAAAACAAATGTGACAGACAACAATTTGATCTGAATTATTAAAGCTGCAGCCCAGGCGAAAACATCAAGCACCTTCAGGAATGCAAACAGGCTCGATTTCATTGACTCTTAGAAACAACTGCATGCCATCCCAGAATGAAATGAAACCCAAATGTGATGTTATCTTTAAAACACTCTTCGAGGGATATGCCAATCCTGGTCGTGCACTCCGTTTTACTTCAAGTCTGGCCACAGCCGACACTACGCTCCTATGGAGCCAAACAAACAGCACCAAAAGTACAATGATGGCGCTCCTTTTCTTTGTGGGTTTGGTATCACCAGCAATCGCACACAGAAAAAGTGTCAAATCACAGTGTCTTCACTGCGTGCAATTGGTTAAGTTGGCAATAGCAAACGTGCAAAGACGACGAGCACTGGGACCACTTTTGCCACTGCTCGACCGTTCCGTTGCATAGGCTGCGGTTCGACCTAAAAATTAAAATAGAGTATGGGGCTTCATTCGTTAAATAGTTTTATAGAAGGTATGCGTCGTCAACCGAGTGAAGTAGCTGGAGTAGAGTTAATGAAGCAATTTAGGTGGTCTTCTCATTAACTTATCTCGGGAAGTTTAAGCCAAGGTACGTAATTCTGCCAGAGATTCCAAATAAAGTTGCCAGAAATGACTTTTAACAGGGCGGGAACAAATCCGGATGACATCCTCGAGAATTTACATTTCCACCTGTTTGAAATTCGACAGGGGCTGGTCAGGGAGGTAACCTCCGACCGGTCTTTCCGAAAAACAATCTTTCCGAGAAGAGGCACGAACTCAGTGTTTCCCTCGCTCGTCCCAAATCCAATGCAGCAAAGATCAAAACAGCGCAGATCCTCTGAAGCACGTTTTTGTAAAGAAAAACAAAGGTTTATTTACTGCACCTACAAACTGCACTGTTCTGCCACAAAGCCGGATGAGGAAACAATCCGAAGAAGTCATTCACTGCCCGTCCAATCAGAAGTGGTTGTACCAGTAGAACCAGGCATAGTCGGACTTCTTGGGGTCGGTGTGTGCATAGTACTCCTCCATGGGGGGATCCACGTGGTAGTTGGGTGACATGGTCTTGTAGAGGGGCTCCCCGTAGTATGTCCCCACCTTCCAGCCGGGGACATTCTTCATCACTCTCTTCTCCTCCTCAAAGTTCTTCTTGAGCTGCTTCAGGTACCTACGTGAGATCAAAATGGGAAAAATTGAACGCCAGCCGACGTAAAGCATGCTGCACCAATGAAAACGCTTGGCTGAACTGGCAAAGGCATATGTACAGACTGGCGTAGAACATCTTAAAACTACAGACATCTCATGAAGAGAACAGAAGACATTCTATCTATCACTCGTCTGCTGAAGAGGTGACTTGCCCTGGAGAGTGGTCTGCCCCATGCAAGATATTGTAACCCAGTTTTGAGACTAAGGGTTTGGATGATTTTGTGCTGAAAAGGACTCTCTTGAACCGTATCGTGGATGGCATGAAGTGAGTTGAAAGGTGGGGCCTTTTTGTTTTGTCATCTGGCAGAGCTCTTCAGTAACACAACCTAACCATAATGTAAATAGGTCTTGTTCACTATTTCATGGATCTCAAACATGTGGCCCACTGAATAGTGCTGCTTCTTGGACGAGTTGGTGCTGAATTTGTGAATTTGAAAACACAGAAATGCTGAAAGTGAGTGCACAGTGTTGTCCACTTGTCCTTCTGTCCTTGTCTTCCTGCTCATTTTCCCTGACTGGGCTCGCTTTTTGACAGTATCCCTGACAATTCCCCGATTTTTCCAGTAATTAAAATTTCCCAGACAATTACCGGTTTTCCCGGTCGCTAGACACCCTGATACAAGGTGTTTACTTTTTAGAGGGACCAAAATAAAGATAACGTGTGTTAGGGCTTCTTGGGGCGAAGTCGGAGACAGGGAACGTCAGAAAATTGGTGAAATAGGTTAATTAGCCAACAAACCAAAAAGTTTAATTAATTTTAATCTCCATTTTTGGGGGCATAATGCAGATTTGATGCTTCACCTCACTGAATAGTGAACAGCTATGACAAAAAAAATTTAAATTAAAAAACATGTTTTTTGGGTGCAACAGGGTGAAAAATGCCATCCTTGTATATGGCTTTAAACTGAAACATCGGCAAAGCGTGCCAGTGATGTCTATCCCTACACTCTGCGCTGGCTCCGCAACCCAGGTGGCACCGCCGCGGGTGACGTCAGCAGTGTGAGGCAGACCCAGAGCGGAGGAATTGACGTCACGGGTGCACTTTGCAGGCTGAGTTCCAGTTTGAAGACGTGCAGAAGGATGACATTTTTTTGCCCTCAGCACCGACTATGAACTTTTCTTATCAGGCAATGGGCATCTATATGAAGGTGGACATGCTATCTTCAACCACTTCGTGGTGGCAGTGTCATAAAACAATGGCCGTGGCAGCTTGCATACCTTATCCTGAGGCCTGCCATGCACGGTTGATGCAGCGCACACGCCGCCATGGCCACTGCTTCGTGACGCTGCCAGTACAGAGTGGTCAACGATCGCCTTAAACTGGACTGTGACTGCACATTGTTCTGTGGGCTAACGATTACCAGACAAGCTACAACAAACGAAGATGTCACGACCAAGGTGCCATCTGCTATTGACCGCTGAGAATGGAGTCTGATGCGGTGGAGATTGGTCGCACATGCGATCACTCCATTTCACCAATCTGCACCTTTTCCTCTCATGTGCAAAGAAACTTTTCACTGTTTCTCGCCTCCCCATTTCCCGCGCTAAGGGACGTCATTTGGTCGGCTTGCTTGCCATACACACACTGTATGAAGGCTGTTTTCCCGTTGTTGTGACTGCCATACAGCCACTGAATGCAGAAGTATTGTATCATGCTTTATGACCTTTTGCATCACGACATGTAAAACAGACCAATTCTCTGGTTACAGGAGATTGGTACCTATAATTTTCTCGAAACAAGCCACGACTCCGAAATGCAGCAGTTTTAGAATGACCCCTAGCCGTCGTCTGCTAGTTTCGTCTCGTCGAGTAGCGAGTCCATTCTGTTTTAGCCAAAGTGAAGAACTGAGTGTCGAGAGTTTGTATAGATATGGATTGCTTTAAAGAAGATATGCTACTCCAAGAGTAGCATCTCTTTGTCCATGTTTCTGTTTGCACTTTTTAACCTTAAATCTTTTACTGCCATCAAGATGGCATGTGAAACCATGTGACAAAACATTGGTATGTTGTCATTTTCTCTATCATTAGCTGCATCAGTATAAGCATTATGTTAACAAGTGAACATTTCAAATCAAAGCTCAGCTGCTTTTTTCAGGTGGCTAATGAGTAGCGTTCCGTGCTTTCAGATTAATTTGAAAAAAAAAAAAGAAAAAAAAATCAGAAAAACTTTAGCCAGCAAAATTTTTATTATTTTGGAATTATATAAAAAAAAAGAAGAAAACAGCATTTCAAAGTCAAAATGGCAACGAAAAAAAAGAAAGACAGTATTTTACAAATAAATTTTATAAAAGCACAAGGAAAGTGGTCCCGAGGAGAGGCCACTTTAGTTTCCTTAGAAATCTCGGACAACTGACCAAAGATGGTTTAAGTTTTAGCTCGTCAAGGTTTGTTCAGGACAACAGGTCATGGTACCTTTGGGTCACAACAAAAGCTATTACTAGGTTTCTAGTTTGGATAACACTATTTGTGTGCTTCCTAAAGGAAGGAGTAGTGTTTCATAACAGAGATAGCTATGAACCCATACATTTTAATAGAGGGGAGGACAGCTGAAGTTTCTGCACTTCCAAGCGACTACGTCCAAGAGTTTAATTATTTCAAAGTATTGACCGTTACTGAGGCAACACTTATTCGCAATATCTATTGTGGGATAGTTAATATTGCCAACGGCGAAGCACCCATGCCAAATGTAGCTGTAGAAATATCATGCGTTATAGGAGAGTTCTGATAAATTTAGGGTATGTTTATGCCCAAACTTATCTTGTTCTTATTCTGAATTTTAAAAATTAAGAACACAGCTGAATTAAACTCCCAATAGTAAAGAATTGGGAATCTAACAAAAATAAACTCCGATCAACCCCGATTTTTCGGTGGAAAATTAACTCGGAAAAAAAACTTTTGAATTTCCCAAAATGTAAACTCTGAAAACACGGAATCTGATTTACGAGTGGCAGATTGCATAATTTGGTCTCTGACCACATGTTATCATGTTCTTTTTGTCGATCCTCTGGTGTTTTCAGAACCAGGATTTTTACGTGTCTTGGAGGCCAACAAATGCCCCTTCGGCAGATTCTTCTCTTTTCAAAGCCTCAAAATTAGGGGGCAAGGTATCGCACAATGGCATCAATTTCTACACGGGTATTTCAAGCAGCAGTATTTCTGGGCCGTTCTGTGACACAGAGTGCTGGCCAGCCACAAGTTTGTCCCTAAAATCCCCAAAGAAAATGCGACCACTTGGTGGCTGCAGCCTACAACTCACGGTCAAATTGCATCTTTCGTTGTCAGGGCTCAGAACGAATGAGGTCTGATGTCCCTTTAAAAAGCAAAAACTCCTTTTCCCCAAGTTGTGTAGCCAGAGTCACAGCCTCGATTAAAAGTTAGGTATCTTGTTTAAGCAATACAGTAATAAGGATCTCTTGGGAAACAACCCATAGATGCTTTTGGTGACAACGTGCCAAGCGCACAAGCTGGCCGTTGCTTCCAAAACCACCTGGAGACAGTATTGAGAACCGGCAGCACTATCTTGAACGAAAATAAGATGGTACCAAAAGCTCTCCTTCTCAGTGTTAAAAAAGCCAAGATGCCACTCAGATATCTGAGCATGCTAGATACAGCCATCCAACTTTTTAATAATACCCCGGAAGCATCGAGTGGCAAGCAGGTCAGTGCCATATCACAGAGCAGTGTGATATGGCACACATGCGCGCAAACCACATTCAAGTGCAACCATCGTCTGTTAGGCTCTCCTGCTGACTGCACACAGCTCCTGCGGGAGATAACACTACCAACAGATATGAATCACAGAGCAAGATGTGTGCGTCAATAAGCTTTCTTCGACATGCCTCTGTAACATGCATGTTTCAGCATGAAGTTCTTCGTGCTGTGTGAATCTTTGAGTAGATACACCGGTAACACGATTCTATTACACTGGGAATGCTGTTCTGGTCAGGGATTCAGAAGCAGCCATGGGTACACACATGGCCCTGTTCCTCACGAGTCCACTCCTTGATATGGGCTACCATGTAACAGTGGATAGCTACTACAACTCGGCCAAATTCGTCGAAGCGCCAATCGGCTGCAAGGCTTGCGGCTAGGAAACGGCACGACAAGGTCACAATGGCATGCCAAACTTTATCACAAAACAACTTCAGAAAAGTCAGATGAGAGCATATCAAAAAGGAAAGTGCCTCTCCCTTCAGTGGAAAGACAAGGTTTTAAGAAGGTGGTAACATTCATGAGCACGGTGCACACTGCAGGCCATGGTCGACTTCACAAACAAAAAAGGTGAAGTTGTCTGAAAGCTGATCGGATTGATTGGTAATATTAACGCTAGAAGTGTTGTTGAAAGCGATAAGAATTTTTTCCAATTCCCCTGTACCAAGAATGGACAAAGAATATTTTACTAGAAGGTGTTCTATCATCTGCTAGACGTGGCCATTTATAACACGTTTGTCACCTGCCAGAAGAGTGGAAAGACTACCCCCGATCGAGTTCAGGCTAAGGCTAGTGAAGAGACTTGTCCAATGCAACTGCAAGCCCACTGAACCAACCCAAAAAAGGTAGGCACGCTGACAACGTCCTTTTGAGACTGAAAGAGCGATATTTCCAGACCACCTGCTTCCAACTGACAAAACTAAGCCCGATGAAAAGATGCGTTGCCTGCACAAAAACAAAGAAGGCTCGCAAAGCAAGCAGAAGATGGTGCCCAGAGTGTGGTGTTACCCAGAATGCAATATGTATTGCATCTTTGTAAGCCACGAAGGCAAACCTCAGAAATTCGATAACCCATCTCAGAGGCGCACAAAGCGGGGGTCACGAGGCAGCGTTTGGGGGTCGTGGACGCCAAAGAAACTCAAGTCACTGATAGCTTTGATACTGCTCTAAAGAGGGGGAAGGGAGTGGGGGTCGCCGGATGGCGTTCAAGTATTTTAGGGGTCGCGGGCATGAAAGTTTGCACAACTCTGACCGATTTGAACCTGATCTCCTCAAACAGAAAAAAAAAAGCTGATCGTCATGTCGACAAATGCTTTTTCTTTTGAAGAATTTTGTATTGATGTTAAGGCATTTTGCATGTGGACACAACTGTAAGGACAGTGTAAGCTTGTGCAGTGAATTCCAATTTTCTTACATTTCTGTATTTTTGATTGTCTTCCACAGCACGTTTTTTTAATATATAATATTGCACACGGTTGTCCTCAATGCACAGGTATAGAAATTGTCCAGTAATCAAAGGTTTAAAATCATTCTTGCCAGCTGTCTGAAGCTTTATCTCAAACCGTGGGAAACACTTCTGCCCTTCAGAAATGTTAAAACAGTTCATGAGAGTATAACTATTGCCAATAGACCGATCTCACCAGCCAGACTGACTACGCCACCGCTGCCGCAATGCATCGAGGGAACTTTAGTCTTTCTGCACGTGCGACAACCACGCTGGAGCTCTGCGCTTGCAGGGCATGAGCCGGCACGAGCAGTTTTGTGCACTGCTACCTGCCTCCTCCGAACTAAAGTTATGGCGGCATCACACAGGCACCGAACGCTTGCTCTGCACAAGGCAACAAAATGGAAGCACCGAAGAAAAAAACCGGAGAGTGGAGTGTCAATACCCTAAAGGCTTGTTCACACGTACACTGCAGCAATACTTTGCCACTATTAGTCAACAATAAAAATAGTGCTGACCTCGCTGATGCAGCGCTGAGCTCACACTATTTTAGTGATATAGAGCCGACAGAGCGCTAAGTTGCATTAAAGTCAGCACTGCATAAGCACTGTTTCCTAGGGATGATTTAGTGCGGTTATGTATGTGGGAACCGGCCTTAGAGGGGCAATTCAACGATTTTTGTGCTTCGTTGAAATACCGCTTAGAATAAATACTTGATGTTAGTGCAGAATAAAAAAAATGTGCTTGTTTTTCACTAGACACAATAGAAGTCGTAGAAAACAAAAAAAGAAAAAAGCAGCATTCACCCCCTCAACTTGCAGCCAAAACAAGCGGCCACGTGATCTGGAGCCGATTATATGCTGCCCAATGTTGATCATAGCCACGCGCTGGGGTTGGCAAGGCACAGGACCAGCCGAGTTCCAGACATTTTTATGTTTCGGCTATGGCCGTAATTGCAGCGATTAAAAACGGGCCACTACCCGAATGCTTGTCGAGCTGTCGATTATCACGAGCCCAAATCGAGCAGCTTTCAAACATCGTCACTGGGGGAACTGCGACCCCCAGCCACGTCATCAAATTTTGTGAAGGAGAGACTGAAAGAAAACGCTCGTTTTTGTCCTTGAAATTACACCGCAACAAAGGAGATCGTTGGTCAGTGGCATTGCGTGCAGGTATACCTGTGTCCCACTAGTGTCAGTAAGCTTGTGTAAAGTAAAAAACATTCCAAGCGAAGATCGTTGCACAGCCCTTTTAAAGGGATGCTGAACCGAAATTTGAATTTCACTAAATAAGGCCGCAGAAGCATGGAACGGGCCGCTACAAACTACAAAACATCACTCATAAATCAATATCTCAAACGGAAGGCTATATATCTGGGAAAAAAAAGGCGCTATCAAGTAAGGAATGTGACGTCACGATTCTCTTTGAGCAGTTGAGAATGAGGGGAAGCAACCTCGCTTCTCTCCTCCTCGCTTCGGTTCCCCTGCTCGAGGGGACGAAGCGAAGAGGAGAGGGAATGAGAATCGTGACGTCACATGTCTCGTCGGCACAGTTCAATCGCACACTACTGAACCGAAATTTTGAGTTCACAGAAAAAGGCTGGATGGATAGGCAAGACGCTGGAAAACTCAAAAACATCACTGATACAGCAATATTTCTAACGGATCACCGTATTTTTGTAAAAGAAGTGCGCGACTGAACACGGCCAAAGATACAAGGCACCTCACGATTCTCCTTTATTCTTGTCCTCACTACGTCCCGTCAAGCTGGTGAACGGACACGAGAAGGAGAGAAGCGAGGCCGCTTCCCCTCATTCTCAAATTTTCCAGGAGGACAATGACGTCAAAGCCCTCGCTTGATTGTGCCCTTCTTTTCCACGAGTACAGCCGTCCGTTTGAGCTACTGATATAACGGTGATGTTTTGAAGTTCGTAGCGTCCCATTCAAGGCTTCTGCGGCCTTATTATGCGAAATCCAAATTTCGGTTTCGTATCCTTTTAAGCATAGCTTACTCAGTGGCTCCAGATGTGCCAAGGTGAGTATCTGCATTTTACGCCTACGAGACGTCAATCACTTCTCACGAAAAGGGGCAAGCTCGGAGAATGAGTTACAGGAGTCAATCGAGAAGCGGCTACTTACAGTCTATCTTTTTCGGCCCTCAGGAGGGGCTCGAGGGCTATGTCACCGTCGTACTGCTCCAACTCCAGACGCCTGGTGAGAAAAAGAGGAAAAAGGACAGTGAACATCGTGCAGAGAAACAGGACGACGTACGGGCGATTATGAAAGAAGGGAAACGGGAGGATTAAAATCCACATTGTGACGACTTCATTGGTGCAGTTATTCTTGTCAACCTGACCAAACAGCTTCATGGCCCGTTTCCCAAAGCAAGAACACATGCTCCGCAAGCGAGTGTGATGCGCACCCTTTTTCACCACCCTTTCTGCTTATGCCCTAGTCACAGTAGAGCGACGGAGAGAGACAACCAACACCGACGAGCCACAAACACACACTATCCACGCAAATAAAAATTCCTTGGGAAGGCTCACAGTTACTCCTGTTTACTTCAGGAGCACAAAGCCTGCCGAAGGTACCTTTGTGTCCACGCTGCAAGTGCCTGAGGCTTGTTGGCTCTTTTTATTTGTCCCTCTAGTGAGATTCGGGCATTACAGACCAAACAAAATAATTTGCAAAGTCAAAACGAAAAAAAAAAAAAAATAAAAAAATCAAATTTGATATACAGAGTTTTTGACAACAGAAAGCAAATGGTCCTTGAAGGGACACTGACAGGGTATTTATGGTGGCCAAGGTTTTTATTTGTACATGACATATGAGAGCCCAACTACCCAAAACACAATTCACGGCTCGAAATTTATTTTTTCCGCCCGAAAACTGCCAATAAAAAACTGTCCGTTTCGAGTCGCGCTCACTCTCTTCTGTGCGGTCACGTGCCGTTCTCTATGGTTTAGACACAACCACCAAAGATAACCACAGTTGTGGGTTTGAAGAAGCACACTCAATACTAGAAATAGACAAAAAGTATGATATCCTCTTTTTGGAGCTTCTAATAAGCTGCAAATACATTAAAATAAAATAAAAGTAGCGCAGCCACCTGACTTTTGGTAACAATCTCCTCCTCTATATTTCTTCTTCCTCCCCAGTCGAGTTTCGGTTTTGACCAGTAGCACATTTTGACTGCATTAAAAATATATGTGACGGTGTAGCAAAATATTGAAGGGGTAGTCTTTGGACATCATAAAGGATTGCCTGGCAAAAAATAAAAACAATTTTTGAGGGGGTGTCAGTGTCCCTTGAAAACGGGGTACTCTGGCGTTTTCTTCATAGTCTCCAATTTCCCAGAAAATTTTGCTAAACACACCAAAAAACGTCACTGAAATAGTAACCCAAATATTGGGGCAAAATAATTTTATTGAGCAAAGTTAGTGAGTATACAATTTTGGGCCTCACAGTGTTTTTCAAAGTGAAAGTCTCTACTGGCAACAATGTAAAAGTTACATCAGGAAAAGGCATGGGTTCTCTTTAAACTGCGGACTTTGTTACCAACTAATTACAAGCAGTTTCATGCTGTCAAATGAATGCTTTCGAAGCTCGTTCCAGCGCCCGCGCGGCAGCATGAAACAAATGCTTGGCTTAGTGTATTTTCTAGACTGCCCGCTCAACCTGCAAGCCTGCCTTCCCTTCAGGTCAGGGCACTGAAAAGCGCCACAATAACTGTTCCGAATTTCGCGATACTAATTAGCATACCGGAAAGGGTAAAGGCCAGTAATTCCCAAAATATTGTTAGTTGGGGCAGTTCACAAAATCACCAGAGTACCCCTTTAAAGGGGTGCGTGATGTCTCCGCTGCGGAGAGTGATTTGACCGATGCAGTACCACTATAGGGTTGCCACACTTGAACGTGCAGTTTATCCTGACTATAGTCATTAAAAAAACAAGTGCACCTTTGGCAAGACAGGCAGGGCAACACATTGCTAAAAAAAGAAAGAAAAAGGATGCACCGAAGGCACCAACGACACACCCCCCTCCCGAGCTAATCTGAGCATCCGGCCAAGGCCCGTGACATTGTGCCGTCGGCATGTACTTCTCTTGTAGAGAGGTCCGCCAAGCTCATTACAACACTACAGGCGAATCGTGGCATTTCTAAAACCATTAGAGTCAATTCTTTCAGACTCTGGTGTGGGAAGGTGAGTCGAGTTCAACGACGTGTTGGGAAAAAAAGGAATATAAAACATGCTTTTTTGCTGCAACATGGAATGCGAACTATACGTGCCTATGGTCGATGCGTGCCAACAAGTATTTGGGTGGTGTTAGTAATCTTTGTCGGAGAGAATTGCAATAACATACTTTATGAAACAAGCACAAGTGGGACCCTTTTCTTTGTTGGGAAAAGGAAGGCAATGAAAGACAGACTTTCATTGCTGTTACACTGACGTTGCAAGTATTAAGCGTGATGAACGATTCTGGACGGTTTCCACGTCTGAAATGAGCGATTTGAAACTGGGGTTCCAGATTGATGCTGCATATTCAAGCTTATTGGAAATGAGGGTTTCGTAAAAATATAACTTTGGTGATGACGTGCCAGAATAAGATTTGTTCTAAGATAACCAAGAGTGCGAAGAGCCTCAATAACAACAATCTATATGGGTTTTCCGAGACAAATTATGAGTTATACGAAGACCGAAGCTCAAGACTTATTATCAGTAGAGTAAAAATGGTCCTTGCTCTTTTCTGGAACTAAGTTGCATGTCAAAATGGGTGCACAGAGCCAGCTCTCCATGGCGGAGATGGAAACTCTGCAGATGGCATGGTGCCCTACACGTCGGTACATTTCCCCCCGAGCCTCTTCTCGTTTCCCAAACCGACCTGGCGAAAAACAAGCGTCAGAGCTAAGTATGACTGATTTCCAAGACGTGCCGTGGCACGGGCATCGCTTCGGCACTTCACAAGAGGAAGCAGCCGGTTGATAACGCCTTTATTTCCCATCAAAGTGACGAGGAAGGTTGGATAAAAAAAGAACTGAAAAATCAGCTTCAGAAGCTCCCCATTGTATAATATACAATGTACACTTGTACACATTGTATAATCTGTATAAGTGTAAATATCGGTAGTAATCTTTATTAGTAGAATAGGTTCATTTAAGTACTAGGTTTATTGTGCTTTGCTTGAGACTCTAAATGAAGGAGCAAACGCGCAAGGAAGAAGTTAACACATCGTTGGTAGTCAGCTGTCTGTCCTCCCCTCTCCTTTCTTTCTACGTGTTCCAAGTTTAATTCAAAAGTTCAGCTGATATATTTACGAGCTCCCCCCTCCCCCAGAACCCACAGAAAAGTATGAGTGCGGAAGCAGACGGCATCTGATGGTTAAGGTACCGCATGACAGAGCCGAGAGAAAAGAAAGGGCGGAACAAATATCGCTGCAGCACCAAGGAGTGTGCGCGACACAGCTAGTCTTTTGTGCACGCACATTGTCGGCTCATCTTCCTCGCTATTCCAGATGAAGACTCTCACTTTTCTTTTTTCATGGCGACAGCCGTTACTGGTGAGCAGGGCCGTACCCAGAAAAAAATTTCGGGGGGGTTTTCGGGGACAACGGCGGCCATTTTGTAAGTGTCTATTGTCTTATTTTCGCCTATGAATCATGTGCATCGGTGGCATATAATGGAGAGTTACAGCAAACCGGAGAACCGGTCCCGGTTTGGTACCCAGTAGCCGATCGGCGCCACTGCGCGTGCGCAGAGGTGGAGATTAAAATCGACTGACTGCCAGTGCACCGACCAGGGCCGTACCCAGAAAAAAATTTCGGGGGGGTCAGAACCCCCTAACCCCCCCCCCCCTGGTTACGGCCCTGCTGGTGAGATTCTGCAGCAAACCTCGGGGCGTGCTTCGTATAGAGTTATGGCCCGCTGCATTGAGTCACTTCCCTCTATATTCAGCGAGGTATAGGTGTCACGTGGCGTCGCATATTCCTCGCCATATTTAGCCAGGAACTGCCTCCCGCTAGATTCAGTGCACTAATTTCTCCACTGAGTTTAGAGGCAAAAGTTCACTGCTAAATTTGACAGACAAATTTTCCTACCAAATTTAGCGAAAAATCAGTGTCGCCTGCATGACATCCCGCAATTGTGATGTCATCATGTCACTTGATGCCACAATTTCCTCACTAAACTTAGTGGAACGTCTTTTTGCTAAGTTTAGTAAAAAGAAGCTTTGCACGATCTCGTGTCACGTGAGGTCACACGATGCACAATTTCTCGGCTAAATTTAGGGGAAATGCTTCTGTGCTAAATCTAGCAGCCAAATTTGGGCTCCACGTGACATTCCGTGTGCAGTGCCTCACCTGACGTTGCAGTTTGTTTGCAGAACGCGGCAAGGAGCTGGCAATTTTTTTACGTCAAGCGTGCCTCTGTTTCACTTCGAACAGTGTTTTAAAGAGATTGGCTACATGTTTGTAACGTCATGTTTCTTTAAGCATTGTCTCGGGAATAATTAAAAAAACCGGCAAATCCATGACGGTCTGGAGTATGACCAGTAACCGGCCACATGTGCGGAAAACCAAGCCGCTGTCGAAAACTGGCCAGGCGACAACTTTAAAGGCTGGCTCATACACTTGCAGCTGCTTACGAATGGAGAGGCCTAAAAACGGTCTTAAGCCTTTTGTGACTGGCCATTACCGGCCCTCCTGCTGTGCAGTAGGTCATAAGCTTAAAAACAAGAGGCTTAAAAACCGGTTGCGGCTTAGTCGGCCACAGACAGAAGCAAGTGTGTCGATCAGCCTGAAGTACCGCTGCTAACCTGAAGTCTGCAGAGTGCATCACGCAGAAGTGATTACACCACCATGTGTTTCAATAATGGAAAGGCAAATATGAATCTTTCTTCTCTTTCTCTCAGTGTCGACATCGGCAGATCATTAGAAAACGGTGAGTCTGCTCGGATTTTCCTGCTGAAATCTTTTGGCAACTACCGATCCCTACTAGACTCCATCCAACTAGACGAATCGTACATTACCATACACTCCCTACTCGTAGCCTCGGGCGAGGTAAAGCGAACTGCTTGTAGGCCGTGCAAGCTTGACCGGCCACGCCGAGCACCCACGCCCGACGTCGCAGCACGGTCATTCGGGTGCCAGACATGTTGGCGCGCTATGCAGGAAATCAAGTGCAGTTAAACTAACTGCAGATTCCGACACAGTTTTTCGCCGTCTTCTGGAAGCTATGTAATTCAAGAGATTAAGATTTATGCAAAATGTTCTGCTTATGCGAAGGAGTATCAGCCATGTATTTTGCCACTGAAAGCTTTGATGAAGACATGAAACCAAAGACAACACTTTAGAAGTAAAAGGATTGCCGCTAAAAAAAAAACCAAGCAAAAACCAGTGTGAAAAGAAAAGAATAGACCGGGGTTCTCAGAACTGCCTGTATTCTGGTTCACGTTATGATGAACCACAGCACATGCTATGAGCCGACCCGGTCAATAGGACGGTGTGATTCTGTCATGTGCCCCGCTCGTCACTGCGCCTGTCCAGGATGTCATGTGGCACTCCCACGGCATTAATTGGCTTCCATGTCTCATAGAGTCCTCCACGACACGTCAAAAGTTAAAACAGTATAGCGAAACTCGGTGGAAATTTGTTGTTAAGACTGCCTCCCCAAATAGTGGTGCGTCAGGGATTTGTCTTCATTTCGGACCATACTAGGCATCACGCTTTGGTTCAACGATGCATAGTCATTTATTCGCTCTCACCGCCCGCGCTGCAATCCCAAGATCCGCTGCGACGGCCTATTATCGGTGACGAAGCGCCACTCACGTGGCCAAATGTACTTGGCCCCCTCGGGGCAGAAACGACCGTGGACGATTTTGCGTGCGGGCCACCTGGTCCGCGATTTGGATTCCCAGGTTGCCCACAATGCATACACTATCAGTGGACACTGTGACATGAGTTGGAATTCTTCACAAAGGGCTACCGGCGGCTGTGTGGCGAACAAGGGCACAAGGATTTGCCAGTAGAGATTCGAGGCATTTCGGGACTCCAGTAGGCGGCTTCATTTCTATGCAGTTGTAAGACTGTACCGTACAAATAACTGGTGATGTAGAGGTAATGTTTGACAAGTGAAGTTGAAATCGCTGAATTGGTCCCTTGCTCACCAGAAATGCCATTGGAACACACAGGCTGTACCTACGTCAGATGCCAACGTGGAGCATTGGCAACCACCATGCTGGTAGTTGAGTCGACAGCCTTTTGCAGCGAGAGCTGTGGTAAACTGTGTGGTGTTCTGCTCCAATAATTGCTTGAAGAACGAAAAAGATGCCATTTTCTAGCGTGTCCCGGCGATCGTTTCATAAGCGTTCCTTGCGACGATGCAGCCGCCAAGAAAGAGAAGCCCCAAAGGAGCCGACATCAACAATGCGGCCTCCTATTATCGAGTTTGCAGGACGCACTGCGTTAGTGGCAAGTGATGGCACTTTTTTACATGTTTGTTTGCTTAAGCCTTTGCATTCACTTCGCTTGTTGATGTGAATGCTCTTTCCTTTATCACACCGTTAACTGAACAGCCCTACAACCTCCAGTGAATGACATGGTGACACTTGTGTTTGTCGCCAGCACTTTGCAAAATCAGAACTTCACATTTTGGAAGAGCTTTAAATCGCAGTTCCTAGAGCCTCTCATCAAATAATTGTGATTGTAGCATTTTATACACTTTGAACAACGTAATGAAGCATGTTTCGCTGACATGACAGCTCTTTACGTCAAAACCTTGCGTTGGCGGCATACCAATATTTTCTGTTAGTACTGACTAAACTTCAGTACCGATCATCATGAACATACTGACTGAACATAGTCATAAGTTCAGCACATTGACTGAAGTTCATACAACAAAAACTAGGTAGCTCTATTGAAAATATGGAGTATGTTGCACATACCTGGACCACTAGCGGCATCCTGAATTTTGGTCAACGCATATGCATGGTGTGAAGTCGACCACCAGCATGGCGCAGGGCCCTGTCCTTCTCTAGCATGAAATCACATCAATCTATGTACCGTTTGACTACAGCTTGTTAATTTTTTTTTTTTAATAATGACTGCACTTGCTTGTACTATCGCGGAAAATATGAGCTGAAACAGCGCTCTGGCCGGCGCACGGTACTACCTGCGCCGCCTGTCGCCTTGCTCCGCACGCACGGCGCACCCTGAGGCCGAGATGAATTATCACTTGCGCTCGATGCGCCACTGTGCTCTTCCGGCCGTCTGCTAGCGAGGCGGCGTGTGTGACAGCGGGCGTGTGTGCGGTAGGGCAGTAGGAAAGGGGGGGGGGAGGGGGGGGGGGGAGGGCAGAAGATTACAGTTGCTGTTCATTTTTTTTGCAATTGATTTACTTCATTACGTCGCGTAGAATCAAGTAGAAAAAATGCTGACTGGGAAAGGAAAAATGTTGCGCTATCTTCAATTGCAGCTGCCATTCTCGTTTTTCAAAGTCCCATGAAATTATGTTGCGTCTTTTTCTTTTTCATTGAGCACAGCTGTTCAAAAACAGCGGTAACAATACATGTTAATGCGAAGGTGTTGTAAGTTTGATTGGAATAAAAATGTTTAAGAATATTATTTTAGTATTGCCGGGCCCACGCATTTCTTTCAAACAAGAAAAGTTGATTACAAGACACCGGTGTTTCATTTATAAATTTCTAGTCTTAATAAAGCACGACAAACAGTCATATGTTTGTCCTGAGAATTAGCCTGAAACTTCATCGAAAGAATATTCGCAGTGGACAATGTCAGACACAAAAGATTAATAGTAGGCGTGCAAGTTAAGTATGCGCCGGTTAATGGCACCAAACAGTGTGCAGCAACCGTAGCAGCAAGCTTTGTTCCAATCAGCAGAAGTCCGGTTCAGGGAGTTTCGAGGCGCAGTAAAACTTACGAAAGAAGTTAATACCGCGTCATTCTCCCCTAACCCGCGACCACGGCTCTCATCATCTCTGCTAAGGAATCATGCAGCGCGGCCACGAAGTCTGGCTCGGCCCGAAGCCATTCACGTCTCATCGCTTCCCAGAATTCGTCGGCAGTGGCGCGGGGGAGAGAACGCAGTGACATGGCTACCTTGATGCGCCTCCAAACGTATTCAATGATATTCAGCTCGGCACCTTTTGGGGGCCAAGGCAGCTCCTTCCGGCAGCGCTCCTCGAGGAGATACGAGCGTGACAATGCATTTTACACTTCGGCGCTTTCTTGAAAGGCACTGAAATGCATGCTAGCTAGAAACATTGGGCTGCACGGCACACCTATCGTGATGATGGTTCCATTGGCGAATATTTTCGCTAGCAGACGGCTGGAAGAGCGCAGCGGCGCAGTGAGCGCAAGTGAGAATTTATCTCAAGCTCAGGGTGCGGCGTGTTTCCGGAGCGATGCGACAGGCGGCGCAGGTAGTACCGTGCACAGGCCGGAGCGCTGTTTCAGCTCATATTGTCCGCGATAGTACATTATGGTAGTTGGTGCGACTGGTTGCTATTTCAAACAAACTTTAGATGCCCGGGTCAACACCCTGTATTTTGCAACGTCTTAATATCAGGAAACTCTAGCGTTCTTTTCTTACTTGGTTCAGACAACAAAACACATCTTTCCCTAGAGCACAGCATGTGTTTTTGCTTTCCGATAAGGTGAACTAGACTGAAGGATTTGACATGTCGAACGTCCAACTAATTATTTGGCTCATGTGGAGGCCAATGTGACTTTAAGAAATGGAAAGGGGAATAGTACCACATGGTGCACTGGTAGGAACAGGAACTAGAACTCCCTAATTTGCTACCGTTTCAGATTTAAGCAGTAAAAATTGACCACAAGGCCCAGGTGGGAACAAAAAAACAAAGCAAAGCATGCATCTAGGTACTTACTTCATCCTGCTGTACCCCTGCGCGTACATATACATAGAGAATGCAGAGATGAGTCCATAGCCGGCGAATATCTTGTAGCCTGAAACGTGTCATTTCGCAGTGATTCGAAAGGTGGACAGACAAAATTTCACTCCTCGTTTTTCGATACGCACAATCATTATGGATCACACTACTAGCGTAGTATACATCATACTACTAGCGGAAAAAAAACGATAATCACGACTTATAAATGCGTTTTGAACGACACTACAAAAACGGAAAATCTAGCGCGGGGGTTCTCCTTGAAACGTCCTATATCGAGCTGATTTCTACAGTGGATACCAACAAGGGATAACCGGCGCCGTTGGATTTCTTATGAAATTGTGGTGACTCACCTGATAATAAGGTTCTTGCCGGAACACGCTTAACATTAAAGGGAGAATAACCTCCCTCAGGAGGCATCTCCTGCTTGAAGCCAGCAGACGCCATCTTTAACTCCTTTGGATTGAAAACGGATCGATTTGGATTCTCTTCAGCGTTGCCAACCCCTGATGTCGACTTATCCCTAGGTTGATGCCGGAAATATCCCCAGATTGGACAAAAAATCCCTAACTTTCGGCGGGAAGCTTAAAATAACACAATCATAATGTCACAAGCTATGCGCGCGTAAAGCTGCCTCCTACTAAAATATATATATAAATATATATATATATATAACCCTTCACCACGACGCTACAGAGTACCGTCACAAAAAGCTAGACCCGCCTACTGTCTTCGCGTCCGGGATTGCTTCGAAAAGTGGAAACGTTTCTTACGTCCAACAAAAGGATCACCAAAATAAATACAAAGGAAACTGCTGGCGTCGCATTCAGCGAGACCACGCACTGCCCATCCCTGCCGGAAACGAGGCGCGTACGTCACCGAGTTCCTAAAAGGATAAGAAGGGAGTCGGGATAAACCGGCAATAACTCCAAATAATGTAAAATTTACATTAAAAAAAATGCGGTCACTTGAAATTCATTTCTGAACCTACATCCGGGGATCAGATGACCGAGCCTGTGCGACTCCCCCCCCCCCCTTCTCACCCCCAACTTTTCTCCCCCAAACCCCAACCCCCCGAGAGCCAGTGAAAAAAGCGCCCAGTCAACAGGTGGTGTTGGCCCAGTGCGCATACCGCGCATACACTATTGGCCCTCCCTTTCCCCCCAACCTCTCTCACAACGCTTCTTTCCCTCTGTGCCGCTTCGTCGCTCCGGATGGCTCGAAAGGTAAAAAGGGTGGTTTGCTGTTCGCCAATTTATATTAAATAAAAAAAAATGCACACGTATAAAAAAAAAAAAAAATCTTGGAGAAATCCCTAGATTTTGCAAAAAGTCTTCAAATCCCTAAGTGAGAGCGAAAACCCCTAGATCTAGGGGTAAATCCCTAGGGTTGGCATCACTGATTCTCTTGGATCTACATCTCATGTGTGGAGATATATGAGAAATAGCAGCGCCCCTAGCGGTTTAGGTGCACTCCGGAGTCGGGGTGGCAGCAGGAGGCTTTGCTCCAAATCTTACCCGAGTAACCTTTCTTCCACGTCATCGGGAGTAAACGATACTAGAGACTTTTAATCGATTTAGGAACGGCCGGGATTATTCCGTGGATACTCCGCGGATTGGCTTCGTCTTGGGCAACGGCGAAAACAAAACAGCAGCGATGGCGGAAAATAGCAGACGATCTTCATTGATCACGGAGAAAACACTCGAAAATACCGCGGCAAATTTTTTTTTTTTTTTTTTGACAATAACGACGGGTGTTTTTTGAGGTGGCTCCACCTTTCGCTCACCTTCATTTTGGGCTGTATATTGAAATCAAAATTACTTATTTCATTAAGTTAGACAAAAAAATTAATAATAAAAAATTATAATAATAATCTTCATTTGCAAGAGTAATGTTACCTCGAGTAGCTTGCGAGGCAAAGACAGAAAGGCGAGAGCCCGTACACTCGTGCGCCTGTCAGCCAACCACCCGGGGCATGGAATAACAAAACAGAAGGGCCTTTATTAATCAGCGCGATTGCTGTAAGATCAAGTCCAGGTGCCCTAAAGGCATACGTTCGTCGCATCGTAATTTAGACCGATTACGTTTTGCGGAAATTGCTTCCACACGGTGTAGCGGTACAGCGCAGGTGGCTTTCTCAACAGTGATATGGAACTTACGTTCGCTTTGACCTGGATATGATTACACAATCACAGAGAACTTCCAAACCGCTATGTTTCTGGGGGAGGGGGGGGGGGGGGTTGTTGACTGGTCATCTACATGAAATCTTTGAAGCTTTCACTGCTTGACAAGTGTTTTCCTCTCATTACACACACCCAGGGGTTTCCCAATGAATTGAAATTAGGGGAGGTGTCTAACTTTTTAGGGGGCGGGTCGGGGGGGGGGGGGGGGCGGGGGGAGGGGGTTAGGGGGGCATTTAGAATAGAGGAGTCGTTGCGAATTAAGAGGGTGCCTTCAGAAAAACAAGAAGGTGTACACCCCCCCCCCCCCCCCCCCCTCGGGGGTGTGTAAGGAAATCACTGCACACCACTCCGGGAAAAAACAAACAAAAAAAAACATACTTCCAGATTATCTACTGCGTTCGAACATTTTCATCCTTGAACGCAAGAATACGAGTTCCCTTTAACGCCGAGGACGAGGAAGCGGAGAAGCTCCTATTTACGTTTGCAGAGATAATAACAACAGATATACCTTTTTGCGGAAGGTGCACGATCTGGATGTGGTGCACAGTCAATTAGTACGTTGAAAAGAGCAAATCGCTTAATAACCACACGTTAATGGCTGCACCTCATTCGCTGTCATTTCGGACGTCTGCCACCAAGCCAACAAACGAGCTTTGAGAGTCGTCTCGTCCTCCTCTCCACAAGCAGTGCACACTGTATCCATTTCCTGGTACCTCGCCCTGTATGTTCTGGTTCGCAGAACACCCGTCCTCGCCTCAAACAACAATGAGCTTCCCCTAGAATTGTCATAAATGCTTTCTTTGGCAATACAAGCAGAGATGAGTTCACGGAAGAGCAGGAAAGTTAAGGCCACAGAAAGAGATCGGTGGCTAGACGGAATGCAGACAAAGACGGCTCTGGAAAGCTATAGATTAAACAAAACAGTTATTGCCAAAGAAAGCATTTATGACAATTCTAGGGGAAGCTCATTGTTGTTTGAGGCGAGGACGGGTGTTCTGCGAACCAGAACATACAGAGCGAGGTACCAGGAAATGGATACAGTGTGCACTGCTTGTGGAGAGGAGGACGAGACGGCTGCCAAAGCTCGTTTGCTCTGTGACAGAAAGCTCAAGCAAACGAGCTTTGACAGCCGTCTCGTCCTCCTCTCCACAAGCAGTGCACACTGTATCCATTTCCTGGTACCTCGCTCTGTATGTTCTGGTTCGCAGAACACCCGTCCTCGCCTCAAACAACAATGAGCTTCCCCTAGAATTGTCATAAATGCTTTCTTTGGCAATAACTGTTTTGTTTAATCTATAGCTTTCCAGAGCCGTCTTTGTCTGCATTCCGTCTAGCCATCGATCTCTTTCTGTGGCCTTAACTTTCTTCTTAAAGGCCGACGACCAGACTCGAAATTCTGCAAGGCAGAAGACCCTCCTCTCCACGCCTCCGGGCGAGGGAAGCGAAGGATGGAAAGAAGGGACCAAGAGGGTCGGGCGTGGGTGGAAAGGGTAGGAGGGAGAAAAGGAAGCGGGCGAAAAGTGGAAAGCGCGAACTGGTCGTCGGTCTTTAACTGAGACCTGCTCTTCCGTGAACTCATCTCTGTTACGTCACGGCGCGGTGGTGGCGCGTCGGACGCACTTCCGGTCTGGGGCTGTGGGCGGAAGAGCCCATTTGAGACGTGTATTCCTGCGTTGTTTTGAAAGAAACCAGACAAAAACCTGCCTTCTCGTCAAAATGCTGCGACTGGGGCTGTGTCAAAAGTGTCGAGAAAGGTTTGAAGGTCAGTTTTCATGCGCTCGGTTCGTCCGAGAACGCGGATATGTGCCGTGAAAAGGGAAAACCAGACGCCGTCGGACCACGATTGCTTGGGCGGGAAGCATTTTGGGTTCAATTCACGGATACTACTGGCCATCAAATTTATTTGTTTTGTTCCAAAATGAACGCCGGAAAACCGTCAAGTTGTATGGACCACCTGCGGACTACGTTCAGTGCGTCTTCAAGTTCAAACGGTCGCCTGATCGTTCGAACTGTCGTCTGCTCTTTCAAACGTTTCTGCTTGTCGTCTGCTCTTTTAGAGGACACCGGCCCGTAGACCAAACGTGGGCCCGGTACTTGCGATAAGAATTAAGTGCAGGCCTTAAAAGACTTAACTTTGAAGGTTGGTAAGCAGGCTCGACGTAAACAGTAGATACAAGGAGATGTCTATCATTGTTACCAGTGGCCATCACCGACTTGTTATGCCTGATTCACTCGGTTAGATTCTGCTTGCGATTTTCAGTATCGACGTCGACCATCTCAGCTACGGTTCACGCTTTTGCAGTTCGAGCGACGTCGCTACTGAAAATTGAGAGCGAAATCTCATCATGCGAATCAGGCTTTAGCGTACGTTCTGCGGCGTCCACGCGGAATGAATCGCCGCATGTCAGATGATTCACGCGAAGTTTTGCGGTGTAACGAGCCTCGTTAATTTCGCTGACACTGCTCAAGTAGTCAGACATTGTTAGGAGAACGTGGAATCAACAGTTCCAACGCGAAAAAGAGCGCGGGTACTCACACCGGCGCCGACAACATCGCATTTCAATGGTTTGTTTATGGGCGACGGCGAGCTTTTTGCCCACACCCCCATCGCGCATGCGCAGCGCCGGTGGCGTCCGCTAGGGGCGCTCCGGGCGCTCCGGCTTGTGAAGCAAGAAGTGAAGCAAGCGATACAAAAACGTCAGGAAGCCTCTAGAGAACACAGGTATTCCAAGCGTAGTGGGGAGTCCGAAACGGAAGTAAAAAGAAAATGGGACAATTTTATAACATGTCGCCGAGAGGCATCCAGTTTGATCAATGCGAAAATTCAGAGAAAGGGTGAGGAATGGATGAGTAATGTAAGTAAGAAAGATAGAAACGCTGCCAAGAAGTTTTGGGAGCACTTGAACTCACTCGGTGAAACGACGCAAGCTAGACAGAGGTTCATACTCTCGCATCAGGGAGATCAATTAGAGGGAGATGATGCGATACAATATATAGGAGCAGTGATGGAGGAGAAATTTCGGGAACGCGTACATGTGGAAGATAGGAGAACCGAAGGAAGTAGCAGTCCAGTTTGTGACATCGCGGATTTTGGACAAAGAGAATGGGAAAAGGCGGAACGAAGAGTCCCTAGTGGCACGTCGACAGGCACAGATGGTATCCCTATTAAGCTGGTGAAGAATTTGGGTCCTAAATCTAAGGCAAAACTAAGGGAGGTAGTGAGTACCATGATAACAAAAGGAAATATTCCAGATGAATGGAGGCTTAGTAGGATGAGTATGATATATAAGGGAAAGGGAGATAAGTCT